ACTAGAACCAGAGGCAATTTCCACAACTATTTGGCATTTCTCTACTTTACACTGTGAGGACCAGACATGTTACTCATAATTCTGCAAACTTAATCCTTTTTTCTCAGTTTTTTAAAGTAGAAGGAATAGAGTAGAGGGAGAAATATGCCAATAAAGCTAGTGTGTATTCAGGCCTGAATCTAGGTTCCCTGCTTATATCATATTTCTATTCCATATGATGATTGGTTTTGGGTGAATGAGTAACAATTGCTTTCCAGACTTTAAGCACAATAATAGTTGGTCATTGAATATTTCAACTTAAGAAAATGCTAGCAACATTGTGACATTTGCTTTCAAAATAGCAACTGCATAATGGCAGCCCTATAGGGAATATGTAGCTAAAATGGGAGCCAAGGAATAATATAGATTTCTTCATGCTGATTTACTGTGGAAGAAAACATTTTTTCTTCTGATGATGAAGTAAAAACTCAATTTATTATACAATAAATAGTTTTAACAAGAATGGAAGAAAGATAAAGATTACCTGGCAGTCAAAGTTATGCCAGTGATAATAAGCCCCATATTACAGAAAAATGCAGCCTTATTTAAAGGAATACAATAAATTACAATGAGATGCCAAGGATAGATCAAGGAAAGGCATGCCAAAAATGCCTGTAGGATATGCTATAATGAATACATTTAGAGCAAAGGAAACCCAGATGGTTCCAGTCAAGCAGATAGCGCATGTTCCATATGAATGCCAAGGAATCCATTCAAAATTATTTCCTTACTTTTCATAAACAAATGTGAACATGGTTGTATCTCCTTAGCTCCTATGCCATGAAAGCTTTCATTTCACTGCAAACCTGACAGATTGAATTTGGGAGTTCAAAAGGATCATGGAAGCTGCACTATCAGCCTACAAGGGATCCCAAGGACCAATTCTTGATCCAATAAGCTCTGTCAAGCTTTGAGTTAGAGCACAAGCCTTCAGCATGTACTCCTTAGAACATCTTAAAAAGTTATCTGGAGATAAGACAATTATCAAGTGCATGGGGAAACATGTCTGTTCTGACCTGGATCACTGCTAAATTTGGGGAGCGTTGGTCCAGGATATTATTCAAAGGTCAGACATTGTGCTCAGCCCCTGAAAAGTTACACACTGTCATTTTAGAGATTGTGCAAGCTGAATTTAGCAAGGAGACCTTCCTTGCAATACTGTATGGGGAGATAGGCATTTTTCCATTTCTGGCAAATCTAAAGAGCAGAATGAGAATCCCTGTATCAGAGTTTGGATAAACAAACATTCTATATAAATACCTTTTTAAAAACATTTTCCAGCCCAATGGAATGTTGGAAATAAATTATGGAAAAGAATTTTGATCTTTTGTCTGATTATTGATCCACAGCAAGATAACTCTCTCAGAACAAAAGGGGACCAAGTTTGGTATGGAGAGAGAAGCTGACAAAATAAAGTTCAATTTTAAAAGTGGACTGGATCACCTGAGGGCTGAGGAGAAAACATTTCCTCAGTGCATCCATATGGAGAGCAGTTGGGCAATGGCTAGAGATGCTGGTGAAAGCCTTCACCTTTCTCCTTTTTGGTCCCTTTGGGGCACCAGGACTCCTAACAAAGCTTTTTTAAGGAGGTGGAAAGAATTCGCAAAGTCATGCTTTGCATGTTTTCCTACTTTGTTTATAAATATCCAACATGCACAATGAAACCTGCATGCCCCTAAATCCCATATTTTTAATGAGAGAGGACCTTTGTAAGATTCTCCCCTCACGATTAATTGAATTGAGCTCCACAGGGTTTAGAGACTGTATTTTTCTAATGCACAATTCTGTTTCTTTGGGATTTCCATAGTCCTAAAATTGTTAAATTTCAAAAGTACTATGTTTGGGAATATTTGCTGTTAGGTACCATTTTCATTAGATTGTTGCTTTTTCATTTTTTAATAACGTTTTCCATATTTTTCCCTCTATGGCTTAATAAATCTTCCGAAAAGCAACTAGTTGGCTATCTCCTTACCTGAAAAAATTCATCTCCGTCCCCTGATTTGAAGCTCAGCTTATTTCCAGCTGAGCTAACTGAGCCCAGGGGGTTAAATGGTTTAGCCATAATTGAGATTAGACATTTTAGCACTGCTCTTTTGCTCTCTTGACTCTTTGAATGATTTAGACCACACAAGATCTGCTGCTTTTCATATAATATATAATGGACTCTTTCTTGAAAAGAAGGGAAGCTTCTGGATGAAACTAAAACAAATGACAATACGTCAGTTCTTCTGCATTTTGCATCCTAAAAGAAGCACAGCAGAATTGAACTACAAGGGTTGTTTTAAATCCTTGGTTGGATGGTTTAAGAGCTGCATCTGGAGATGTGCTGTTGAGTGGAAAAAATCTGGCAACGTTCTGTACCTAAAAGTCCCAGAAAAAGCTGCGCTAGTAGACATTGCATGACGCTGCGCAAGGCTGCATCCAAGAGACTGTGTAGCGCCTTGCATAAATGGAAGTACATCTTTGGATTTCGTTTTTTATTTTGGTGAAAAGATTGTGAACTCAGTAAAAAAGAGAGAGGTAATGCTGAGCTACATTTTTTGGGGTTATTTACCTCATTTGTAAAGGCAGTTGGGGGTGGGGCTAGCAAGAAAATGGAATAACAAGAAATGGGAATCCAGGAATTCCTTCCAGGAGGGAAGGAAGAAGGGAAAAAGAAGACGGGAGGAAAGAGAATCTTTTTTTGCTGGCAAGTTGGGGATTTTTTCCCCTTTAAAACCAAAGCTTGTATGCTTGCATGGGTCTCTCCCTTCTTCCCCATTCTTCTTAAAGAACACAGGCACTTGACTTACAACTACAACTGAGCTTGGAAATTTGATAATTAGTCACTGCGGCTGTTAAGGAGACATCCATGTGACCACCTCACTCAAAGATTGCAAACCGAGTTCTCCCTTTGCAATTATTAAGCTACCGTGCAGGGGTACCTCGGGGTGAGAGAGGCCTTGGGAGGCCATGTGCCCATTGACATGCGGAAATGTGCTGTGGATCGGGAGGCATCGGCTGGCTAGGCCTACCAGCACGCAGATCCTCTACCCACACCATCACGCCCAGTTCTATTGCTTTGCTCCACCCTGCATGTAGGCTCTATTCTCATGATGATTCGGAAGGCTCCTTCTATGAACCATACAAAGTGGAGAAGGGGCCTTCTGAACCATTATGGCAACAATGGCATTCACTAGTGTTTTCTCCTCTGGAAAGGAAAACACCGGAGAAGCTGGCATTCTGAACTTCAACATTTCAGAACATTGAAGGCCAGAGCCTTTAGCGTTTTCTCATCCAGAATCCATTTCTTTCACTAGTATTTTTCAGGTCTCCGAAGGAAAAAACATTTGCAGAGCTGGCATTCTGAAAGGCTGGAAGAATTCAGAAACCAGGAGGGAATTTTGCAACAGCAGTCATCTGATCACAGGGCATTTGGCAACTGATAGCAAGTGCGGGCAGATTGCCAAGTGCCTGAAATGCGGTCATGTGACCAGGGGGAGGGCAGCACAACATTGTTAAACAATGGTCTTAGGTTGAGGACTAGTATTCAATTCAGTGGAAGACACCATTTACCGCCGAGAGCAAGAAAACACTTATTTAAAAAAAAAAAAAACGAGGAAAAAAGGAAACGAGAAAAGAACAATGCAAAACTATATCTCTTTCTTTCCTCTGGGTTTTTGGAGGATACTTTGATTCCTTAGAAAAGAAGCGAAAAACAATGCAACTTTTGCAGGAACTAAAGCATCTCAGAACCTTTGACACAGGATTTGGCCAGCCTTTAGCAAAAGTTTTTTTCGTTTGTGGAAGATCACCTCTTTATTCAAATGTGAGGACAACAAAAAATTGCAGTAGTCCTCCCCAGACCACTTCCTGAAGTGTTAGAACTATATTTCTCAGGATTCTCAGCCAGCATTGCTGTTGGCCATGGTGACTGGGAATCTTGAAAGTTATAGTCCCAGGACACGTGGAATTTTCCTGGCTGGAAAAAACTACAGAAGAAAAACAAAACTTAAAAGAGTTTACTTTCAGTGCAGTCACTGTTCTATTATTATTAAAGAAAATAAAATTAAAAAAAAAATCCTTTCATAGTTTGTTTTTGCAGTTTTGGAGGTGCAATAATTTACGGGAGTGTGTAAAGACATAATGTCTATAAAACATTACACAACTACTCAAATGCCTAATAGAAATCTGTTTTTTTAAAAAATGTCATAAAATAGCTAAAAGATGGGATTAGGTAGCCTTTTATTTAAAAAAATTAGAAGCATTTATACCCTATTTTTTTGACTTTTACAACCATAATGATTTTGTAATGGATGGCTAAGCCAATAAAATAGCACTGGAAGCCTCTAATCTCCTGTCCCAGGGCCTCTGAACCCTTCCCCTGCTCTGAGGTAAAAGCTGGATAGTTTTTGCTTCCACCATCTATCTTCCTAATCAAAATAGCTCTACTCTAAGAATCTGTTCTGGCTCCCCAGATATTATTTTTAAATATCATCTTCATCACCATCACCACCACCCCTCCACTTCCAATATTATTGTCCTATCCTGTGATTTATTATATGAATAATATAATAAGCACTTCACTTTTCTTGGACTTCCTTTTCTTGGCAATTCCATCTCCACCATCTCTGGTGGAGAGCGCAGTGGAATGTGTGGATGAACTTGGGGGATGAGGGAAAGAGATACTGCGTAGGGCAGGGGTCTCCAACCTTGGCAAGTTTAAGACTTGTGGACTTCAACTCCTAGATTTCTGGAAGTTGAAGTCCACAAGTCTTAAACTTGCCAAGGTTGGAGACCCCTGGCGTAGAGAATGATCAGACGAGAGGAAATAGCCTACCATCACTTAATGGTAAGAGAAAGAAACTTGGGAAAGATGTGTCCTAATATCAGGTTGGTAAATGGGGGTGGCAGGAAGTTTGTGCCTTCAGACTTGCAAGATTTTGTTCATGTAGCCTTACAATAAAATAGAATAAACTCACCCAGTCCTGTTTCTTGTCTGGTTTACCTAGGTGGACTGACAAAGGGAGATGTTAATCATCTGCTTTCACCACTTCAGTTCACTGATTCTAATTATAATTTTAGAATGATCAAGGTTTTAACACCCCGGCAGTGTCAGATGCTGAGGTGATATGATTCTGAACATGATTGGAGAGTCATATCTTACCCAAGAGAATATGGATTGAGGTCTGAGTCTTTGTACAAGCAGTCTACCTTCACAAGTTCCCACTGAATGTGAATAGTATTAAAATTTTTCAGTTAATTAAAAGCTGCAAGATTGCATAGTCAGGTGCTCATGATAAAAATAGGAAGGACGGAGGTCTGTAAAGTAATTAAAATTAAAAATAAATAAATAAAAAGAATGCAGCCATTTACTAACAAACCCTGAACCCTGATCTGTATATACTTTTTTTTAGGTCACTTTGGGGTTAGCATATTCTTAACTAACAGACCAAATTTAATGCTGCAAAACCACTACTATTGTAATAGTTAAAGCATTGTGGAAGTTCATCATTGAAACCTCTGACCTCAGGGACAATCAATGGCATAACTGAAATCTTGTTTAAGGCAAAATAATGCCATCCAGCACTAGAAAAATTGGGGAAGGGAGAAATAGAAAAAAGCAAACTCTATCTAAGCAGAAGGAGGTGGGTTAAAAGAGTGAAATTAGGTGAACAGTATCCTAGTCATAGGATCTTAGTTATGTTAATTATTTACAATATGAATCTGATTACACAACTGAATTAGCATTTAATAAACAAATAATTCCCTCAACCCTGTCAAACTATTCACTAAGGCTAATTACTATTACTATCAGTCTTCTCACTGCTCCTATCACCCATCTCCTCCCACGATGACTCTATGACTGTAACTTTGTTGCTTGTACCCTTACAAATTATATTGATATTGATTGTTTCCTGATTGCTTATTTGTACCCTTTGACTATCATTAAGTGTTGTACGTTATGATTCTTGATGAATGTATCTTGTCCTTTTATGTACACTGAGAGCATATGCACCAAAGACAAATTCCTTGTGTGTCCAATCATACTTGGCCAATAAAAAATTCTATTCTATTCTATTCTATTCTATTCTATTCTATTCTATTCTATTCTAAATATTTGACATATAGCTCTCATGGGGAGGGATTTTTGTAATTCATTTTATCTCCTATAAAACAACTGCTTAATTGCATTCATTTTATCAGCTGTGCTTTGGAGTTCCTCTCTTTTTAAAAAAATCTTTTTAGATTTATTAGATAGTGAATCCTTTGCAGGTAGTCCTTTACTTATGATTGTAATGGAGCCTGTCCATTACGGCCATTGTGACAGTCATAAAGCAGGTCATCGCATGACTGACCTGATTTTACAATCTTAAGTGAACACGATAGTTGTTAAGCAAATCCATTGTTTGTCATGGGGCATTTTTGTAGGAAACTAGACGTAAAAGCCAATTTTCATAAAAAATGTAATAAATTGTGACCATGTATCTGTGAGAGGCTACAAATGGATGTAAATGCGGCCTGGTTGATGAATGTCCAAAATAGGGCCATGTATCCCAGGGGGGAGGAGGTAACAGATGTCAGACCTTTGGAACTCAGTCATAAGTACCTTTTGAGGGGGCATGTTGTAAGTTCAAATAGTTGCTAAGTGACCAGCTGTAAATCAAGGACTATAAATATATATAAAGCATTGCAGTGTTATCATTAAGTAAGTTCAAAAGTCTGATTTTTGAAGTCACTGTTCTGAAAATCTGTCATTTTTTTTATTAATGAAAATCTGCTAAGCAGATGGATTACAAATTTAAAAATCGTTATTTTCTCCCGTTCCCCAGAGTTCATTTTTAAATATCATTATTATCATCATCATCATCGTCATCATCATCATATCTCATCTTGTGATTTATTATATGACTAGAAAAATATGTTAGCTTGGATTGGTGTGGAAAAGGTCAGGCTAATATGAGTGGTTCAGATGCAGTTGGGTGATTGACTATGTGCCAATAAGTCAGTGTTGACTCTTATGACCACATAGATAGATTTTCTCGCTGATCAGGTGCAATACCAAGTCATCCATCTAAAACTTAGATTTACTGATAAATAAAAACATTTGTAGCTCAGGGTTGAAATGAGGAGTCCTTGGTGCTCTCTGAGCTTGGTTGTGTTCTGGCAGATATTGCATTACCCAAACTAGGTAATATCTTCTAGTTTGAATAATGAAATGTCTGCAAAAAAACAACCAAACTCAGAAAACACCAAGGACTCCTCAAAACTTAAATTTGTTTCTTTTTCTTTACTTCATGTCAGGATTTCTTCCCTCCTTTTTTGTTATTTTGTTATTTAGCACTGTTTGAACAATCCAAACAATTTTTTGGGTGTACTGTAAAAAATTAAAGATTAATCCTAACACATTCCTGAGGCATTTCATGCCCTAGGCAAGCTGCATTAACTTATTTATTTATTTATTTATTATTTATTTATTAGTCCAATTTACATGCCGCCCTTCTCCGTAGACTCAGGGCGGCTTACAATGCATTATAGCAATAGTATATACCTGCTTATTAGGGCTTTCGGCCCCCCCAAGCAGTGTTGTTCTATACAAAGTTGGCTTATTGCCCCTACAATCTGGGTCCTCAATTTACCTATCTTGAAAGGATGGAAGGTTGAGTCAACCTTGAGCCTGGTAAGATTCGAACTTGCACTAATTGCAGGCAGCTGGCAGCTAAGTGCTAGCACTTAACAGCACTTTAGTCCGCTGCACCACCGAGGCTCTTATCTTATCTTAACTTATCTTGAAAAAGCTTTATTTCATTATCATCTACAGTAGGACAGGCTAGAAAAACTGATTATAACAATTTTCTTAAATTAATCTTATAAGAGTTAATTGGCTGACATTTGTAGGAAGACATCTACGGAACAGGAGGAATAAAAGAGTAAAAAAAAAGTTATGATGGCAGCCACAATGGTTGATCAAAATCCCACGGAGCTTCAATCAGCAATTGCAGTCATCATTCTGACTTTTTTTGATCTCTAAATGCAGATCAGCTTGTTTTTGCACCAATGGATTTGATTCAGGGGTGAAATGCTCCCGGTTTGGACTGGATCAGGCAATCCGGTAGCGATTCTGGCAGGTGGTTTGGAGAACTGGTAGCGAAGGCGGCATGAGGCTCCGCCCATCCACCCGGGTGTCATTACTCCTGGTTTTAACCAGGAAGTAATGTGTTTTTTACCCTCTGCGCATGTGCACAGGCGCGACGCGTGCACTTTCGAACCAGTAAGGAAGGTAAATAGATTTCACTCTGATTGGATTTTATAAGAAAACTTTGTGATGGGAATCATTGTGGAATGTGCTCTACACAGGGCTGCCCTTGAAGACTATCTAGAAACTTTATTGGTCCAGAGTACAGTAGCATAGGCAGCGATGGGCATGCCACAGTATACCTATGTTCTACCGCTGTTCTTTGAGCTGCACTGGCTGCCAGTGGGCTTCTGAGTGAAATTCACCATACTTGTTATCACCCACAAAGCCAGGATATGTGAGGAGCTGCCCTACAGTCCATGGTTTTTACCTGTTCAGTAATATTGGGCACAGTTGGTGCACTTTGGGTCCCATTAATTAAACACTGCCATCTATTAGGAGCTAGGAAGCATGCTTCTCTGTGCCAGTCCTTTTAACTAACTAACTAACTAACTAATGAACTAACGAACTAACACACACTAACTATTTCTGACCCCTCTAATACTCTCACTATGAAAAATAGAGGGAATATTTCAAGAAGAACAGAGGCACACATGTTCCTAAAGAGTAGATATTGTTTTCATAACCATCCAGTGGCAGGCTGCTGTTGGTTCAGACCGGTTTAGGCTAACCGGTAGTTTCGATGATCAGCTGGCCCTGCCCACCGGCCCCCACCCTATCCTGTACTATATTTCCTTCTTTCTGGCTCAGCCGATTTGCGCAGCACAGCTGATTTCTGCACCTCTGCTGTTCTACTTATTGGGGCTGCCTTAGAAGGTAAGCAGCTAATCTTCAAATTGCTGTATTTTGAACGCTGTGCGCAAGTGCATTTGATGCGTTCGCATGCAAAGCGCACATTCACAGAACCAGTTGTTAAACCGGTTGCAGCCCACCACTGTAACCATCCAACAAGATGGTTAAAAATGTAAGATAGTAAAGGCCTCATCCCTGCACAGTGATTTTAATCTTGATTTCCTCAGTCCCAGTCCACTCCCCTTTTCTTCAGTTCTAGAACTAAAAGCAACACCTTCCTTTATGTTAAAAATGTCGAAGAAGCTAAAACAAAACCTTTTCATCATCAATTCATGTTCATGTTTTCTCTGCTCTTTTAGTTTGTGTCTAGATGCTTAATTATGTCTGCCCTTGATCAGTGGAGTTAAATTAAATTGCATTTCAAAAGGTTTTAATTCTTTCATATTTCAGTTGAATGTTTTTGTTGTTGTTATTAAGCATCTGGCTTAGCTAGTAAACCCAGGAAAAGGGGGATAAATTTGGCAGATGAAAAACATCTCCAATTCATCTTTTAAAGACATTCATGGCATATTTTATGGCAATTAAAAATAGAGGGACATTTCATTTAAAATATTTAATCTGCTGTGTTTTGATATAGATTCCCATCTTTTTCAGCTATAAGAGGTGATATTGTTTGGTTAAACATTTATTAAAGTATCAGGTATTGCAATCCACATGATATAATCTTAGTTACGGTAATTATATCTTGAGGTACTTCAAATAAAAGTATTTTACTAAGGGCTTTAGATGATATAGTTAATTAAGGCGTTTTAAGTATACAGCAGTTTATATTTAATGTTTACAATTGTCCTGAGGAAATAACATTAGTTTGCAATATTATAATTAGACAAAATGTATTTTAATTGCATTTCTTGTCAGATTATTTTTTCTTGTTTTTCTTTTAAATTTCTTCCATTAATGTAAAAAATCTATTAAAAAAGACTTCTGATTATCTTCTTCATAATTCTTGCTGAAAGTAACTGAAAGAA